ACATTTCTGCCTGCAAACTACAGCTCAGAGCTGCTGTGAGCTCAGTTGTGTCTTGACAGTGAGAATACCCTGAATACAAATATTTTTCCTAGAACTCAACAGTGGGCCAGAGAAATTTCTCTGAAGCCTGCAGTGATGTGCTTGGGGTGAATTTAATCCACCAAATGTAACTTGGGCCAAGCTATGATGGGATATAAGCAAGTGAAGAAGCCAAAGTCATTGGAAAACTTTTCACCTCCAACTTACCAGTGTCCTGAGGTGAAAATTTTCTAGTATTTGTCAGCCTGATTTGGAGCTAAGATAAAATCTTTTTTTCCTCCATTGCATTTATACCTCACAAGGAATTTTGTTACAGTTTGTGCAAGACAGAGGAAGTCCTTCTTGCACTGCAAAATTACATTATAAAAAAATCTACAAGATTTTTTTTTTGTTATACAAAAATGTTTGTTTTTAAAACAAGCAAACAAAAGAGGGTACATTTTTCTCTTTTGTATCCTTTCTCGTACTTTTGCTAAAATGGTTATCCCTAGCCTTGATTTTTGCAGTGGCTCCGTCTCTATGACTGTAAGTCATTAAATGTTCACAAAAGTGAATAAGCTGCTTAATGTCCTATTCCCCTATGACTTGAGACTTTATCTAAAAAATCCCCCCTAATAAACATCCTCCCAAATCCTTAAACATCTGTCTTAGTACTGTGCAATTGCAGCATGGAGGAAACAGAAGGGACTCACTAACCAAATGTAATTCCTGTAAAACAGGGACATAAGGAGATCAGATTGATAACTGAGCACATCAAGGATTTAATGTTATCTAAATACTTAAAGTCCATGCTTAGGCAAGTACTAATAACCTCAGACAATATCTACAATATCCTTAATTTCAGAGAGAATAGAAAAGCCCACTCTTTTGTACCAAGTAATGTACACAGATAGGGGCTCTAACTTATTAAAATTAATTTTACAATTAGAGAACACACCGAATCTGTGAACTAGCACATAATGACGGGAACAGATGTCACTTACTGCTGAATGAGCAACACAAAATATCAGGAGTGTACTGTGCAATGCTGTCTCATGCTCTCTGACAGCCAACTCGAACTCCCTGAAGTCAGCCTGCTCCTTAAAAACCTTATCCTAATGTTTGTCTAGCCAGAGGCATATTGCAGTGGTGACAGAAGGCACCCCCACTGCAAGTCCTAACCCTTTCCATCCTCTTTCCTCAGTCTGCCAGAAACCCTAGGCAGAGTCTATTCAGTGTAGTCATTCCCCTCCAGGGATATGTCAAACAGAAAATCAAAGTTAATTCTCCAGAGGCCTCTCTTGGACCAAGCCACATACAAACCTAATCCATAATTACATAATTTTCTATTGTCAAACATAATTTCTCTGGGTCAAGATGTTACTTATATCTCACGAGAATGCAATTTTTTTCAAGCACTAGGTTAATTTAAGGCAGAGTTGTAGACTCTTGCTCCCACAGCTGTGTGATGCCAGAAAAATCATAGGAAGTATTTTAAAGGAAGAGTAAAAGGATTGAATACAATGTCACTGTGATTAAAAAGAGAAAAGTGAAAATATGATGACTGGAGTGTAAAGGGTGAACAGTCTATAGGTTCCACTAGGGCAGACATTGCTGCTACTTTGGTGATGGGAACCTGTGATGTGGCTTTTGTGTATTTGATTAATAAGCAAGATGGGGTTGAAATATTCTGCATACCATAGGCATGCACTGTTGGCTGCACATTACTAAAAATATGCAAAGGAGTAATCAATAGCTGGGAGCCATCTGTAGGGTATCTGAAGTAACCTGGTGGAAAGATTGGCCATGCAGTGGTTCTTCAGCATCCTCAACACCCCTACAATGCTGCTGCAGAAGGCTGTTTCTGTTTCTTCTCTCCTCCTCGTGACTTCACAGCAGAAATTGTACAGACAAATTACAGCCAAAAATGAAGTGATAGTTTAGTACTAGGCAGCTTTTAATTGAGTGATGTTATAGTGTGAGAGATTTGAAGAGACAGAGCCCTCATTCCCAATCTGTTTACACAATTACATGAATCAGTCATGGATATGGATAGCCATATAATCCAGATCTACTTTTTGTGAGCGAGCCAGGGACAAGCTGGTTCCCACGTGCCCCGAAAATGGGAGTAATGTGTTTTTTTCAGAGTGCCCTTTGCAGCAGTATGACATGTGATGTGAGGCACTTGAGGTTTGCTGGCCATACAAACCCTGTTCCTGTTCTTGTTTGGTTCAATGCAAGTGATTTTGTGAGGAAGTAATTAAATCAAATGAAAGCATTATGTTCTCCAAAGAAACAGCAGAAAGCCAGAACAGTATTTACAAACCATATACTCTTGTTGAGCCTCCAGCTTGTTCAGGAGGGCTTTTCTGCTCTAATTCTTCTGATTTGCTTTGGTGCATCGAGCGATTCTGTGACTTAACAATGTGTCCATGTTCCTATGGACACATACACACAAAGGTCTTGGATCACGTGGGAGTTTCACTGAGTTCTTGTGAAATAATAATATGGTTGAGATGAAAGAATTCTGATCCTGTCAGTTGAAACATTGAGCTTCAAGCTCCACGTTTGGCAGCCATCGCTAATACTTGCTATGTCCTCGTTTCTTATTTTGGAAAGCTCAATTTCCTCTCCAGATCCTGAGTGGCTGGAATGTGTCTTTCAATTCCAAGAGAGAACTGCAGGCATGGTCTCCAGGATGCCTGTCCAGAGTTAATTTTTCTGCTGAGGCGTGTGAATATGAGAACATTGCATCCTTGGAGTACACCTGTATTTATCATTGTTTTTGGGGGAAGTAAACTTGTTCTCGGTGGTACCTGAGTGTGCTTGGTGAGTTGAACATGTAAGATCCTGCCTTTCTTTAAGCTAATTATGTTTATGGTACGTGTGTATTGTAATGCTAGGAAAGCCATATGAGACTTCAGCCTGCTGAGAATGCTCTCAAGCATTTCATTTCAGTGGAAACCACTCTGGTCCCTCAACATCGCTCACTGTGAGCTGCGGCGGGCGGGATAAGCAAAGTGGCTTTTGGGATCTATTTTATCACACCTTTAGGACATAAGCTCAACAATTTCTTTCGTTTTGCTTGCAGTTGAAATGAATTAGCTTTTTTTTTTGCCCGCGTCCCATCCCGGGCCCTCGCAGGCATCCCTGTTCCAGGCGAGCCCACGAGAGGGCACCCGGGACAAACCGCTCCCGAGCCCGGGCAGCTCCGGCGCTCCGCTCGCTCGTTTCTCCCGGGTAACTTCGATTCTAAGGGACTGAAGAGCTTCAGCTGCTCCATGTCACCCTTCCACAGGTGTGGGATGGACCGTGTGCGTGGGCATCCTCATCTCCGCCCGCTAAAATCCGCTGTTCGTTTCGTGAAAACAAGTAGGCAGCCAAAATTGAACGGGCAGCCCCGTGGCAACAGCCGGTTTTCGTGCTTGTCAAAGCAACAAGAGCAAAAGTTTTCTAGTAAAGTCGGGAAGCTCAGAAAAATATTCGAGCTTGCTAAAGCTAAAAAAGAAACAGAACTGAGTTGCTTTGAGTTTCCAAGTTTAAATGATGTTTATTCTCATCTTACTAGGCAAACTTAAATGATTTTCCTGGTGTTACTGTCATACGTGCCATTGGTTATGGCAATCACTTTGTACCTCTGAGTTCAGGTAATAAGTGCTCAAAAAATAGATGCACTTTATAGATCCAGGCACCTCTCATGAGAAGATGTAGGTCAGATAATTCCTGTCCTCCACCTTTTTTTTTTTTTTTCATCCTTCTCTATCTGTGGTTGAAAAGGACTGCTGCTGGAACGAGAAAGAAGTCAGAAATATTAGCCAGATTAAAATATGCTTCTACCAGCTCCACCTAATTTCTTGGGAAGGGATTAGCTGCCTGAAAGCTACAATCCAAATAAATCATCAATCTGCCATCAAAGTGTCAGAGAAAGAAACACTTAGCTAAAGAACTGTAGAATCATAGAATCGTTTGGTTTGGAAGAGACCTTAAAGGTTATATAGTTCCAGTGCTCCTGCCATGGGCAGGGAAAGCTTTCACTAGACCAGGTTGCTCAGAGCTCCATCCAACCTGGCTTTCAACACTTCCAGGGATGGGGCACCTACAGCTTCTCTGATCAACCTGTTCCATTGCCTCATCACCCTCACAGTAAAGAATTTCTTCAAATTTCTAATCTAAACCTGCCCTTTTTCAATTTAAAGCCATTCCCCCTTCTCCTGTGACTCCATGCCTTTACAAAAAGTCCCTCTCCAGCTCTCTTGGAGTCCCCTTTAGGTACTGGAAGTGACTCTAAGGTCTCCCTGGAGCCTTCTCTTCTCCAATCTGAACAGCCCCAGCTCTCTCAGCCTGTCTTCATGGGAGAGGTGCTCCAGCCCTCTGATCTGTTCCTCCTGTCTATCTTGAAATAGTATTTTACATCAGGAGGAATTGCTTCTTCAATATTCTTATTGTTTGGGTTTTTTTTGTTTTGACTTGTCTTGGTTTTGTTTTGGTTTTGTGGTTTTGTTTTGTTTGTTGTTGGGTTTTTGTGTTCTGTGTTTTTGTTTGTTTGTTTATTGTTTTGTTTTGTGTTTTGTTTTTTTTTGGTGTGGATTTGTTTTATTTACCCCCCCCTCAGGGAATGATAGTAAAAAACCCTAGGGGACTTGTTTTTGATGGCTTAGTTGTCCAAGTTGAATGGGAAACCAGAGGACCAAAATGGGCTTGCAATAAGTGAAGAGAGTCTAAGATACTTGTTGTCTCACTAACATTACTGACCTTCTCATGCCAGCAGGTAGTCTGTGAAAGCTCTGTCAAGAGACATTTATTTGGCTGATACCATTCCATATTTTAATCCTGGGACTCTCCTTAGTGAAAACATATAGATTTCAGTTTGTTTGTTATATAAGACAATGGGTGTCAACAAGGGAGTAAATCATACATCACAAATAAGACATCTGCTGTTACTTTTTCTGACTTTCTTTCTTTTTTTTTTCTTGTTTTACTAGAAGTTTTTGGACAAAACGTGAATGATTTTAAAGCTATTGGAGACTTTGCAAGTTCAGAAACAGAAGCTAAACTCTGAGGCTGTGCTAAGGCTGCCGGAACACTGAGCAGAAGTTGAGGAGATACTGAATGTATTCCATGGCCTGAAGGCAGGATTGACACCAGACCTTCTACACTTTTCTTTGACTGTGAGTTCCCCAGACAAAGCCTTTCTCTTTCTTTGTGTTTTATAGAGCTTTGGACAATAACAGCAGAAACCCAACAGGACTGGGACTGTTTGTGATCTCGTAATAAGAGTGATCCATGGCAAAACACAGATATCTGCTGTGTTCTTCAATATAGCAGCATCATTGTTATCTGTCCTGGGTTAGGCACAGAATAATTTTAATTAATATAGGGAGCTCTATATACTAAGAAGGCCATCAATATGCAAAGGAAGAGCATATGTATAAAAATTTGGCCAGACTGCAATTTTTGTTTTGTACTGGAAGTTTAATATTTTCAGAAAAACCTTATTTAGCCCTTTATTATGTTTTCATAACCTTTTAAAACGCAAGAATCAAGATACCTGTGATCACATTTTAATTCATCACATCCATATCCTTTCTGCAGCTTTAAATAAGCTTTTTTTCTTTTTAACTTACTAGTTTGGTTTCTCCATTTGCAAAATGTAGGTAACTCCTTTCTCAGGGGTGACATCAGGGTAAAATCCATTCATGCTTTTGAGGTGTTCCTATTAAAGTTTTGAGGACCGTATAAGTACCGAGGCGTCAAGGAATATTAAACTATCTGCTGCAAATGTCTCTGCTTTTTTTCTGTGTGGTTCACTAGTGAGCACTCAGAGATGACCTTAGTGTTGCTGGTGGCACTCTTTCAGATCCTGTTTAAAACAACTGTTGAATGACTCACTGTTTCAGGAACATGGAAAGTTTCCCAGAGTGCGTTTGTGCTCCACTGTCTTAGAGTCAGGAGATGGAGCTGATCAGGAAGGCTGTTGCAGATGACTGAGTGTGCTTATAATGGGTGGACTATTCTCCCCTGCTTTGGAACATCTGCTGGTGATTTTAAAAATGAATCTAAAAAAATAATCTGTTGGCTGGTGCCTGGTAGGAAGCAAATACAGGTTGTTTTTGTGTCGCTGGTGATGTATCTTTAGAGGATTACACATGCCAGTTGCTTGACTTCAATGAAAATTTTCACAGTGGAGTGATGTAGTGTTGATTTAGAATAATTTTTATTTTTTTCCCCAGTACTTCTATTCTCTCTTTACTACTTTAGGCATGGCACTAAGCCTTGCAACTCAAATCTGAACTCCAAGATCCTTAAAATGTGATTTAAGATGTAGGGTTTTCACACGAGATACTTTCAAAATTGGCATCTCCTTCTTCCCCTGGCCAGGGGGAAGAACAGTCTTCTGATTGTTTCTTCAGTGAAATTCATAAGCCCATGTTTTTGCCATGGCATGCTGTCACTTTGGGAATTATTATGATTTCATATATCTGAAAATTATTACTTCAGATTAAAAGGAAATAGACTGCCAAGCAAACAGAACCTCGTTGAGTATACAATTGTGTTGGAAACAGATGAGTGAAATGGGAAGTGAGGATGCAGAATCTAAATCGTGATGGGAATTTTCCCAGAATTGGAAAGGCAGGAACTCAGGGCATGGTCTCCAGGCCTGTTCCTGCTGCAGCCCTGAGCACGATGTCACAGTCATCTGTTGTCTGCAAGTTTATTTAGAGGGGAAAAAAGGAAGTTAGATATAAGTGACATCTGATATTTTCATTCGAAAATGAAAACTATTAGAGATTAGGAGGATTTGATTTCTTACTTGAATTGCTGTTTTGCTTTCTACATTCTCCTTTTCTCTTTTCCTTATTTTTTTCCCTTTCCTGACTGAAATTCTTTAGTAATTTAGTTGTGAGAAAAGCTTTGAAAACAGTGACAGCAGTGCTCATATCTGCCTGCAAATGAAGGTAGTGTGACTCAGTTGGTCTGGAAATGAACAAATCCTCTCATCTGGAATAAATGTAAATATCTGGTTTATATGTCAATGTTAACTATTTTACTGCTGGTCAAAAAAATGAAGGGTGAGGTGATCAAAGGAGGAAAATGTGCATGAGATCTTATCTTCATTCAGTCAGTGAAAAATACCTACAGATCTGAGTGGATCGGGTTTCTGAGTTTTTTTTTTTTATTTTTCTTCATTGAACATGGAGGAAGACAAGGGAAACAGTTATGGAGGATGGTGTATCCTTTGGACTGACTAATCAGTAGATGAAGTTATGAATCTGAACATAGCACCCAAGCTCAGCAGAGAAGAAAAACCCCTGGTACTCCTAAATTCTGCTAAGAGTTAAGGATACAGAAAGTACACCTTTCTCTCAGCTGAGTTTGAATACTGGAACATAGAATCAAAAATTCATATATTTAGCTGTAGCAACAATTTGAGTGGGTAAATTCAGGGAAAAGATGGGCTTCACTGATAAAAGTGTCTCAAAAGCTGGAAAGTTAAAGTATGTTGTTCTTCTAAGATATTCCTGTCACCTGCAAATTACCACTGCCTGAACAAGATACAGGGCTAAAAAGATTGGAGATGAGAAGATCTTGGTTGTGATTCGTACTTTGCTTTACAGTGAAAGAATTAAGATAATTGTGGCTTGTGAAAAAGAAATAAGTTCAAATAATGATTTTTGAATGCCCTTATTAGTCTTCATTGTTATGATACACCTCTTTACAATGGTTTTGGTTGTCTCCTAGATCACTATTTTGTTAATTAATCATAATTTCATTGTTTTTTAACTGTTGTTATTATTAGTGTGGTTGTAAAGCTTTGCAGTATAACACAATGAAGTCTAATGAGCTGTTGTGAATAAGATATGAAGGTTACTTGGTTTAAATAATATCTGGAAGAGTGAATTTGGCTCATGAGCTGCTATGACCTGAATTCTCACTAGATAGGGTTCATTTTAAAGTAGCATGAGGCTATGTGACTGGTTTAATCTTGGCAAGATACTGGTTTTAACTTGTAAGAACCACCCCACTGTATTTTCAGAGACATCTCTCTCTATCTATAATCAATGAGTTTGTAATTTTAAACTTTATATATGTAACAACTATGTATGTTTATGTGCATTTAGAAGTTAAAGTGCTATTTCTATTGTAAAAATTGTATTTGTGAAAAAAATGTTCCAGTAGGCCACAAGTGAATAGTGTCCTGCAAAGAGCATCAAAGACACGTCAAGGACATTTTCTTGGATGAACTTTTTCTGTGCTGCTCGTTGATTTTATGTTGTGAAATGTTCTGGCTGTTTGTGAAGCAGAGAACAGAGGTAGTCCTAGGAGGTGTCAGGGATATTGGATCACAGCATTTCTCCTAATTACAGCTGAACACACTGGTGCCTTGTGGTCAATGTGACTTAAAAAGGAGAAAACAGAGATGCCAAGTCTTTGTGCATATTCATTAGACTGATGTATTAAGAGAGAATATTTATGAGAACATGCCATCTCACTGAAGTTATCAGAGGTCTTTGTTGGGGGTTGGGTTTGCTTTTCTTTTTCTTCATAGTTTTTGCCGGTTTGCCTTTTGTGTGATGTGTCTTTGTGGTCTTCTCCGGGTTTTTGCGTTTGCAAGTTTCATGGGTGCGGTGAGGGTGCGGGTTCGTGCGGTTGCAATTGGACGTGTAAGGGGTCCCTGTGTCGTGTATCGTTTTCTTTGCATTTGTCCGTTGTTCCTTTTTTCTGGTTTTGTTCTTGGGGCTTTGCCTTGTCCTGCTTTGTAACCTATAATGTTGCATGTGTGCGGTAGGCTTGTTGCTTTCCTTTCCTTTTTGTTTCCTCTGTTTTAACCTCTGCCGGTGTCCCCTTTTCCTTGTCCTCTTTTGCTGTTCTCGTGCCTGTTCTTCGGGGCTGTCGGCCCCGTTTCCTTTGTCCCTGGTACTTTTTCATCTTTTTCTTTTCCTTTTCTTCGTTTTCCTGTTCCGCTTTTCCTTTTTCCTTTTTCCTTTTTCCTTTTTCCTTTTTCTCTTCTTTCCTTTTCCTTTCTTTTCTTTTTTTTTTCTTTTTTTTTTTTCCTTCCTCCCACTTTTTTTCCCTTTTATTTTTTTTTCTTCCAGGAAAAAGATCTACTGGTACATGGTTAATGAGACATTGCACCAAAAGTATTTCTTAAGCATAGGTAGTTAGAATAAATATTACCGAGAGTGGCAAATTATCTGGAATAGTTCCTTTTTAAAATAGCCCCATTTCCCACACACCCCTATAGTTGTACTCAAGGAAAATGCTGAGGTCCCTCTAGTCTGTATTACAAAAATCTCAAAATCCTGCCCCGAGTTTCCTTTACTTCTGATTAGGATTTGAGAGGTTTATCCTATTACACAGGCTGTGGTGCAAGGCATCTCCTTGATCACAACCTTGCCATGCCAACCCTAAATACTGCCGTGGAAAAACTGTTTTTTCTATGAAGTAATTCCTACTGAAAAGATATTTTCATGGGTTCAAACCTGCAGGCCGATGTGGGCCATGAAAACACAGCCAGGGTTCTGCCAGCAAAGTTTGGGTGAAATAGGGACCCTTTTTACCCTGCCTAAGATTTAAGTGCAGATAGGCTGCTCTTTATGTCTTACCTTGGATGCAGTACTACAGGCCATCCTTTGAAGTCAGCAGGAGAGCTGATGGAGGGATGTGCAGCTCCTCAGAATCCTTGGACAGAGGGGGAAGAGAATCAGGGCAATCGCTGGCGTTTTTAGCAGCGGCGCCTAAGGGGCTTTTGTGGCAGAATTCCTTTTTTGGGTCTGCAGCTGGCTTGGCTTGGTCTCAGTTGGAAAACATAGGGATGGATCTCATATTAGGGCTTGTCTTTGGGGGAAATAATTTTAAGAATAAGGTATGATCTCAGGTCAGCATCATTATTCTGCAATAAATTTCACATAGATGCTTGGCTTACATTTTAGCCCATGCTAGTTTTGGATATAGGTTAAATTAAATAGTGTGAAGGCAGGTTTACTGTGCAAAAAGAATGTCCATTTGGTGAGCTACAGCCAAGTGATTAGTTACAGCCATTTCCTAATATTAGACAAGCTCTTACAGGTGTTTATACAACCCCTGTCCTGTGAAGGATAAAGCATATGGGTCATTAGAGCTGTCAATCAAGCCCTTTCATTCTATTAATTTCTGGTGCCACAAAAAT